TCGCTTCAGTTGTTAATAGCTTTTCTGCAGAACGCGGGACTGGGAGAGATGCCGAAGGTAGACGTCAACATCAACCCTTCTGTTAGACGTCATCACCATTCTCCCATCCGTAGCATTATGTACTCCTTCCGCCCCACTAAGGCTTATCACGCAGAAGTGGAAAATCAGGATAAATGTCATTTAAGATCGGGTTCGCTTTCCGCTGCCACCAATGTAGCGTCCCGAGACTCCCTGAAGACGAAAGAAGACACAATACTCGGGCAGAATATGTATTCAGTGCATAGAAGGTGTCTGGGCTATTGGCATGGCCCGAAAGGCCAGCCCACCCAGCGAGGTACAAGGGGGCTAATTCAAAGTACAAAAGTGGCGCCTCACCAAAACCGAGGGATAAACCACTATCGTATTACAGAGACGCTACTTGCTTTCCGGAGTCAAAATTTCGATTCCTCATGCCATGTTCTCATTCGTCCGGCACTCTGAGTCTTCCACAAATTCCAATTAGCCCAAAATCCAGAAAAGCTGGAAGATTATAAGCCTGGCTGAGGTCCATGTCGCAATGTGGAAATGTGGCCTGCGAGGTTTATGTGTTCGAGCTACGCAGGAGAAATATCGTTGCCCATAATAATACAGAAACTATGCTTATTGCATAGTGACACGAGCTTTAGCTAAAGTTTTAATAGTTTACCTGACTATGGGTGATCATTCATTTTTCAAATGCAGGCAACTAAAGGGTCTATATGCTCTGTCGAAGAGTCGGTGTGCCATGTGGTAGCACACGTTGTGGAAAATGGAAGGCGCGCTTTTAAAAATGCATTTACGCAAACATCAACTCATTAAATTTATTTCTTGGATCTGGGCACACCCTTCCATTTATATACTCAAACTGCTTCCCATCAGTCGTTATTGCCCTTGACAGGCCTTCTTTCGGTGCCCCAGAATAAATTTGATAACTATCAATGTACACTGAAAATCAATTTCTGGGAAACAGAAAGCTTGTGAATGAATTATCTAAATTAATCAAGCACTCTCTTGAGACGCATTGGAGTTGATGCAACCTATAAATAAAGTGGAGTCAAGTCTATCTACCACACTATTTAGTCTAGTTTATTCAACAAACACCGCTAGATCTCATGGATGTGCATGCGAAAGCCTCTCTCCCGTATGGCATTATTAGTCGCGAGGATGGGCACAAACTACGGATTCACCTCTGGAGATACTCTGCAACTCATGCGCACGTTTCTGGTACACTGCAGGACGTCATAACAGGCCAAGGCGCTAACCCGAATTCTCACCTTCCCACCGGTTGAAAACAATGTACCGTGATCAACCCAGGTACTGAAATTAGCAACCAAAATCACGACGCTTTGTCAAAGCCCAGCTCTTTAATTTGTATCATGAAGACTCCCAACGCCAAATAACGTGTAGTAACAGTTTCTTTTTATATTCGAGGGTATAAAACTCAAAATGCGGAAATCTTTTATGGCTTTCCACTATACTGAGCTTTCACATCCAATTCAAACAACATAATCAAATAGCCTCGTACATGGGGGCACCAAATGAAGTGTTCCTATAAAAAAAGTAATCAATGACAAATAAAAATCCTCAGGTATCAATATCAGTAGGTGTGGAGCAACGGCGTTGGTGATGAGGGTGGTGGTGATAGTTGTGACGGCGTTAGCGACTCAGAGATAGCAGCACAACCTAATAAGTGCACTTCGGATAAGCGGAAGAAGAGGGAAAAGATAGAGCCCAGACATGAAATAAAAAGAGTAGGAACAATGGAGCGGTAATACTAATAGTAATACAACTAATGGTTCTGGGGATAGTAGAGCTGGTGACGCGTGTCAACACCTTCGAGGAAATGAAATGCACGTGTGGCACCTAGTTAGGTGAGAGGAAGCAGGAAAGACCACGAGTTAGGTGGTGTCAGGAGAACTACCACCGCTATCCATTGGTTGATTAACCATTTTCTTGATTGGCTGGTTGGCAAGTTCATCCCAGGTCTTAGCGTTCTCTACAACAGCTTGATGACTGTCGGGTGTCGAGCGTTGTTGGAGGGCATCATCGCTACAAAGTTTGTTCACCACCAACTCCTCGTCAGCACCAGAGCCCGAGGCACTGGGGTATCGTCGCGAGAGCAGGCACACCAGCACTATGTAGACCAGCAGACTCGAGCCCTTCACTGTCACTCCGAGACCTGCAACCAAATAGCACACGTGTCAGCTCCAGATCGACTTCAGCAACCATCAATTGTGTTTAGGCGTTTGTTCTAGATGGTATGACAACTTCTACAACTACTTAAGACGAGTTGTCACAATCTACAAATTAATATCGAAAGTAATTCATTTAAACTATGGACTGTAAAGTGCACAGCATCTGCAGCGAAATGGCTATGATGAACATTACAAAAAAGAGGTGGGAGAGCAAATTTATTGTGCTAACAGTCTCCACTTTGAGGGTATAACTCTCTCAGCCAGCATCTATCTTAGTAATTGCTAACCTCTAAAAGCTATTCTATATTGTTGTAATACAGATAAAAAGTCCTAGTTTTATGACTAAATTCGGTCAAATGTAGAGAAAGGCCACTACCCCACTGTGCGTCACTGTTTACTTTCATCAATAAGGCTTTAAAGCAATGCTCATCACGTAACGGGACAGAGGCAGCTGCGTAACGACGAAGCAAAATGGTCGTGCTTTGAATACACATGGGTCCACGCATGCATGTGTGTCTACGTGTATGCACACGAACCCATAGGGACAAAGCAATGCATGCTGCCGGCTCTACGCTTGGATCAGCCAGCGTTAACCCATTTGACCTCATAGATCGTGGTCAGGGAGAGCCGTCGTGGGCATTTCAATTTTAGGCATAAAAACGGCATTATCAGTTACAATTATCAAAAACTCAAGCCACTAAATGACGTGACTCCGGGATTTCAAAAACGGAACCCTTTTACTTATTTTTGTATCAATTTCGCATAATTTTAACCTTCAAGAACCACTAAGTGAGCGATGGGAGCTGAAGCAACCCTGATGCTAACAATAACTTAGTATAAAATTAAAAAATGACGCATTTAGAAGATTTTCCAAAGTCAAGGACAAGGCTTATAATTACTAATGCGAAATAAAACTGTTTTCAAATAAAACTGAATTTGAGTGAAAGGAGACTAAATCATAGATCGCAAGGTAAACACTCGACAAAGGCAAAAGCACACCTCATACGCATTTTCAATGGGAACATTGACGAATGTACACTCTTAACTACTCAAAATGGACAAAAAAAATGCGAACAAATGCAAAATTAGGCGTCAATTGAGCCCATGGTAGGATTGTGACAATCTCAATGTACCTCAAAACCGTAGGACATAGATCAAAATGAATTTACTGACTAAGCAAGTAGTTTGTAGCCATTATTTATCCCCTCTCTACTATCTTTCGAAGCGTTATATCAGGAGCGCATCATAGCTCGATGTAAGAGACCCTTTTACAGGTAATGGAAACCGCAATAAGCGAATAGGTGTTAAAGATTACTTGGTACCCAATGATCATTCAGTTACGTAAGCTGCAGATTTCACAAAGGTATAAAATCAAAACATTGTTGATATCACACCCATTCTTTTATACAAGCAAGAGACCAAAAAGTGATGAGTCGGTAACACTGACTTGGGAAAGAAACATTAAGAAATCTTTGATAGGAAAATTACAAAAGGCAGAAAGGCATCGACCAATGGGTAGTATTAGGCTAGCGTAGTGAAGGAATTGCCTATATCTTCAGTGTTTTATGCTGAACAAAAAAGATGAGCAATAGTTTAACAATTCCAAGGAATCTCCCATCTCTCAACATGCCTCGGAGCAAAAGAAGAGGTAGATCCTTGCATCGAATACTTCCCTTCTAATGCCTTCTAGATGAGATCATAAGGGAATATAGAGGGCAGAGCATGCCACAAACGTGGTAAACGTAATGAGAGTCCTTGAAACGAGAAACCAAGCAATGGCTCGTGCAGAGAGCGAAAATGAGGAGAAGGGTAGTACGCACCGGTAATGTACTGAGTGAGCTGTTTGAGGTCCATGAAGGCGCAATCACCCCTACGTCCGCACTCGTCCTTCCATAGGAGGCAAGCTCCGTCGATGGCCCTACCGAAGGCGATGGGGGAGGGCAGGTTGGCAAGAAGGCGAATTATGACAAACTGGAGCCCGAGGGCAAGGGAGCGCTGACTGTGCCTCACCGAGCGCATCGTCACCATGAGCAAGGGGTTCTGGATCACTCCAGTAAGGAAGAGGAGGATTGTGAGGAAGCACACGAAGGGTATCAGCGTCTTGCAGCCCGGTGCGCACACACCCGCAAATACCTCGTCATCGAAAATTTGCGAGGACGCTTCACCCGCTCCTCCTGTCTCGATCGCTAACACCATACTGCTATCCCTTAGGAACACAGATTCGTTGTTGGGAGTATCAGCGAAGCTAAGTAGGCAGTTGCAGTGGTGGTAGATGTACTGTAACGTAAAGTACAGTGTAATTTAAGTAAGACTCCTACACTTGCCGATTAAATAGGGAAACCGTTTGTGACAAATCATTGAAAACAAATTGGGTATCCAAAGGAGTATTTACGGCATCGAATAGTTTAAGTAATTAGATCCTGTTAAGAACGCGAAAACATGCATTGAAATGCTTGAAACAGCCTCACCAAAACGTATCCATTTAACGATTAAATGGAGTGCAAGTTCACGAGTGTTGTAGAATAGAAACTTGCAAAATCATGTGTACACTTTCACTAACTGATGATTCGAATACCGAAACAGAAGAGCTCAGAATAACAGATTCTGAGGTCAACCCTGTTTGTTAGGTAAAAACACATTAAGTATAGATACACATGCCAGCTAAATTTTGCTCGCTTGTGACCGCTTCAATACTATTTATTACAGATTCTAACTAAAATCATTCTGGTCATAGAAACATTTTCACCATCAAACGCCCTAAACACCATGTTAGAAAGCTAGACTATACGTTATGTATAGGTAATGTTTGCCAATTGAATGATAAATGGTTTTACAGGTGCCACTGCACCTGTAAGAGCGCTTAAAGCTGCATGATTGAGGACCCAAAGAAGTACCCCCTCCATCTGAGGCTCTGAATATTTCAAGAAAACGGATACAATCAAAAATCGCTAGTAAGGGTGGTTTTTTATTTGATGCCAATAGAACCGTTTAAAAATAAGTGAAATCCCACCTTACTTTGTTAAAGACAACTAATACGTTTGATACCAATGCCACACAGGTGTGATGCGTATTCTTCATCGGGTGGTGGTAACTGGTTGCACCGAAACCGCATTGCAAACTAAGTGGTTGAGTTAAGAAGATCGAAGACTTTTTATTCAAGAATAGGAATTGTTTAGTTGTTGGATAGCACAAAATAAGCAAAACTTATATCTTACGGATTGTGATGGTGGAGCTTCCCCTGTGATCCTGATTTCATATTTAGAAAGAGTGAGCTAACGCTTCTAAATGAACTCCATTAATTTGTAAAGTAATAGTAGTGATGGATTCGAATTAATAGGCAAAAATACTGGCATTTAGCAGAAGAGTGAGGGGGATTAAAAGTGAACAAAATTTGTCCGAATTTTGTTGCTTCGCGACTAACTACATTCATGAGCATGTCTTTTGAAAATGAAGTAAATGAGATTTATGGAATATCAATGATGAAAAGTCTTTTGAGTTGAAATAAAATAGCTAAATGAAAACATTAAACTACAGTTGTGAGTAAGCACAACGGCGCCACAAACGAGCATCGTTAATCGTTGAATTAGGAAAGGAACAACTCTTATAATTTTTGAGGAGTAAAATCAAACTCTGAATGGAAAGTAAACAGAGAACACCGTAAACGCATTGGTAATAAATGTACCCGTGACGAACACTTGAAAAATTTGCCACGGCGGTAATGTAAATTGGTGTTTACGCTAGATTGACACCCATTTTCGTAGAACAAAACACACAACAATAGTTCTGTGCGCAAAATAATGTATTTTAATAACACAATCAAGTATGTGGGTCAAACAGCAAAACTTTACAATTCAACATGAACTTTTACTAACAAAGAGCTGCATTAGTTTTTAACGAATGATAAAAAACAGCTAAAAATTAAAAATACTAACCTCATCCTTTTCACAGCCTGAGGACTTTTGTAAATAGGAAAAATTAGTATGAGCGAAGACTAAGGTTTCTGTTTAATACTTTATGAGTGAAAAATAAAAAACACTCGGCCCAGAGAAAGTGGACTTTCGTTAAATTCACAGTTCACAAATAAAGAGTTTCTCAGCGAACCATGAAAGTTAGATAACTCAAATAGGTTGCGCCAACCACGGGTTAAGAGTTCCATCTAAGATTCCGAACTTTCTTTGTTAACAATGTGAAAAGAAAATGGAGCAGCAAAGGCACCACCGTGGGCAGAGATGCTCTAATGTAGACCCCACAAGCCGAAACAGATGTCAAAGCATGAGCTTGTCTCATCCACTAGGGCAACTTTGCAAAAAGACTCTACGAAAGAGAACATAGCAATTCGGAGTGCCTTTCGTGTTTTGTGAATACCACCGGTTTCATGCAACGTCATTTGCATTAGCACAATCATAGACCAGACATATTTGAAATTCGTCAATTATGGAGACTTATAAGTCCGCGGTCGTAGGTGCGGAGCTGCACATTGCATAGATGAAAGAATACCCTCAAAGTAGCATCCCAGAGCAAATAGAGTAACCGGAACACTTAGCGGCGAATTTGTTAATTTTACCTTGATACTTGAAAGGGAGAAAGAGTGAATGTACAACGATGTGTAACAAATCTTCAGCCAAACGGGACCATTATCTTTACGATTATAGTACGGTGTAGCAATTATGACGGGAATTAGCAGTACGTATAATTGGGTGGCATTTGGCGAAAATTCCGTAGCACGAGAAAGATGTTGCTATCCCTCCCACTGAAATAGGCCAACGGGCAACAAATTTCAGTGTACTTACTTATTGGATGGGTAAATCACATAAGAACAGCTTTCATTTAGTATAAGCTATAAACATCCGCAGGGCATCATATGATTCGCCGATACGACGTCAATTCGCAATGCGAAACAGTAAATTATCGGCATCAGAACACTATTGGGAGTGGTGGATCGAGAGAAAAATGAAAGAAATTGTGTACCTGACTATTGGTAGGCAAGAAGGTAGGTCCCTTTGCACAGCCAGCATAGCAGGGTGAGAAGAAGATCGTGTTGGTTTTAGCGTGACACACGGGTTTCCAAACATTGGGATTACAACCACACGATCGGCAGCACTCCACTTCCCAGGGTTTCGCGGTCCTAGACACATTGGTGTCAGCAGTCTCAGAGGATCTATAGAATGTGGATAGATGCGAAATGGCAACTGAAAGAGAAATGCACACGCGTAGGGTACTGGTCATGGGTAAAATTGTAACGGGTAGGAAACCCTTTTGTGCATGCACGTAGTTACGTAAATAATAATTATCACGCCTGTAATAAAAGCGGGCTGACGTTAGTCTGGGTGCCAGTTAACGAATAAAGTACCACTCGAGATGAAACGATGCGTCGTCCAACACATATCGAATCATCTTGTTTTATCGCTTCTTCCATAAAACCTACATGAGAGGAAAAAGGACACCTCAGCTCCAGTCATTACGATTACAACACAAAAAAGATTGGAATTTTTCAATGAACAGATTGCAAATCGGTAGCTACCTCTACGTAAGAAAGCCCAAAGGAGAACTCAAGCTCAAAATTTTACCAAAATGAACCACATTCCAAAGCACCGGAATAAGGGTAAAGCAGCAACAACGTCTCTAGCTCCAAAACCATACCATGACTTGTAAATAAATAAGCACCAGAGTTGTCCTCCCATAATTGTTCTGCTTACAGTAAAATAAAAAACGCGTTGATGAGTGTCGCAATTTAAGCACGTATTTTCGTGCCATTGTGAAGGTGAGAGTTTGTAAAACTAAGAAACAACAGAAAAAGCTTGGAAAAAATATAGGAAATTAGACTGTGTGATAGGAATGTAATTAAAATATTCATAAGTGGCAGAGAAATGGTGCTGGAAAGTAACTACCATTTCAGACATTCCCAGAATACACCGTTAAGTGCTTCACTAATACCTTCATAGTTGACTTTCATAACACCAATCACCTCTTCTAGGTAGGTATTGAATGAATAAGTGATTAAATAAGGGTGCATATTGTGCTTTATTTACTAGTCCATTCTGTTTACTCCGACTGAAATTGGCCGAGGAAAAATTTAACATTAGCCTATCCGCCTACTCATCGACTTGACTCCGTACCTTTTCACCTGCAAGCAAAATGCATGCGCGTTTGCTCGCTCAATGCAAAGTAAGGAGAATGCGACGGGGGGGGGGGGGGGGGAAAGTCCAGACAAAAAACGACGAAATCCAAACAGAAACTGGGAGCTTAGTGCACTTCAAGGTCGACCACGCTAATGACATACCTTCGCCTCTCGATTTCAGGTCAGTCAAAACAGGAAGAGGAAACGGACGGATTGGCTCGGGTGCATGAGGAACTAGGGCGGGGTAAGCGGAAACCAGCAGTGTCTTGATGGTGATCAGGACGCGAGATTAAAGGGAGAAGCAAAAATGTGGCGCTTCATGTGAAATTTCACGGGCAAATCGAGTGTTTTTATAAATTCTGCTATACAAACGCAAATAAAAAGTACTCTGAATGAAATAATAAGATGCAAAAGTTGAAAACATTACTGTAATTATCATTGTTCCCTATTAAAAAACCCGTCAAAGAGAAACATTTCTTGAGGTCTGAAAGTAGTGGACTCAAAGTGCAAAAAACAAGGTTAACACCACTTAACGAAAAGGAAGCCTGGCGGAGGGGTGCTGCCATGTTGAAAAGGCATTAAAGAAATAGCTCCTTCACACTACGATCATGCAGAATAGCATATTCGTCATTTCCAACTGGAACAATACTCTTTGGACGATGGAATTGATGCCTCTCATTGAGGAAGGTCTAAAGTTTACTCCAGCAATTTTGAAAAGCGTGTTATGAACACGAAGCTGATGCACTTTTTGAATGAAAACGTCTATAAAGCACGGTTATAAAAACACTACAAGCCCGTTCCCTTGGTCAGGAGCACACATAAAAAGTTTACGTTCCTCTGTGAAATAAAAGCTTGATTATTAAACTGGTCCGATTTGCTTCAGGGCAGGTAAAAAGGGAAATAGCCAATAACATACCAAGAAATGTAAAATCAAACAGACGATGCAAATATGTAGTACATTTTCTCGCCTATGAGCATACATAGATTTCAGGCTACTGCGTTTGCGACATATTTTGGGTTTTTGTATTCAAGGTAAAATTAGACGAATTGTTAACCTGCATAGAACAAATAAGTGCAAAGTGGGAGCTAAAATAGTCCAAGACACTACAACTATAGATAAACTGACGTCAGTCTGCTTTGTGTTGAAGAGGCATTATCAACATTCGATTAAAGTGACAATTTGTAGGGTTTTTCTACCTGAAAAGTTCTCGGAAAAGGGCAGTAATTTCTTAACCATTTATAACTCAAACCGTCGGAAGCTGACTACACTCGCGTACTGCTTCCTGTAGGCAGAAGGAATTTACAACTTTGAGTAGAAAAATTGGCGCTATACGAAACGGCCGCTCCGGTTAGCATGACGTAATAATAACAGTTAACACTTTTCCCGGACATTAGCAGAGACTGGAGCATTGTCAAGTCGCATAATACTCGCGCGATTTTGCCTGGATTAAACATCACATCGAAATGACAAATTTCGTTTTTTTGGAAGGTGATTATTTTATGAATATTACACCAGAATAAAAGCAAGTTTTCGCTGCATCATCAAAGGCCAGAAGCAGAGATTGCCATTAATAACTAATCGAATCAGTACAGATAAAACTATTCGCTTGATGTACAAATAACTTTGCATGTTAGAAGTAAAAACAAACAGAGATTATTGGTTACTATCCCGAATTTCCGACGTTTGAAGCAACCGTAACTAAGGTTTAAAATAATAGTGCAAAAAGACTGCTCATGCACCGCACTGCATCATAAGCAGCACTCCTGCCAAACTGGGAATAGGACTCCTATTAATGCCTTTTGAACTGAACGTTTAACTTAGCAGCATCAATTTTATGGGTAAAACACACCGTAATTCAGATGAAAAGATGACAGTAGGTTTCACAACCTTTGGCGTGATGCCACGTATTAGCCAACTTTTATGATCGGAATACAAATAACGCTAATCAATGTTGTTGTATCGTCTTTTTTGTGGTATTTGGAAAGCAAGAGGAAATCACAAACTTTCTAACATATTACACCAACGAAAACTACACGCGAAAAAAAATTGTAAAACAGAGAAATAGACACCATCCCAATCTTACTTGGAAAATAACACGTATAGTTTATTAGTCCTTTACGTTTCACTACCCTATCCCAGACCATAAGGAGAGAAAAATGCGGCGCAAATTACCAACTAAAACTGGGGACCAAAATGCATGAACTCACCCTGAGGGGTAGGGGACAGTGAACCCAGCGATTTTGGGATTTTCACAACCGAGGAAAAAGAAGGAACTCATGCAGCCGACAATGAAGAAGTTGATGCAAAACACAAAGAGAACAGCGCCTACAGAAGAGAAAAAATATGTGATTAAGCGTGATATGAGTTCGTTCCAAGTCAACGCTTATTACAAAATATGTCAAAAAAACTTTGCTGGTTATCCAATCGCCAAAGAAGGACCGAAGAATCATCAGCAAGTGACGGTCAGCCCTTGAAAGCCACTAGGTAAAGTAACATCAGAACGCTTTTCAAGATATATGGCGAAGCACATGTAACGAGCCAAATACACATATTCGGGGTATGAAAATTCAGTTATGAACAAGGTCTTGAATTTTTCTCCTAAAAATGCATTCGCAATTTAAGGCAATACCATTAGGTCCCCCCTTCAGGTTAAATTGCTTTAAAACGGCAGTATGAGCTATCCCGTATTCACACCTGACACTAGAGCACGGCACGTGTACATTTATAGTTGTTAATGGTACATACATTCATCGCAGTGACTGGTCGATAAATCAGTTCCAGCAGCACAGTTTTTTGAAATGTTTACATTCGCATAGTCACGACTAATAAGGTATGTTTATTCACCTGTAAAAATGGACCACACAGTAAACTCATGGCAAACAAACGAGGACGTGTCTCGAATGAGTCCTCACGCTATCCTGACAGAAGATGAGGGTGGGAAAGGACGTATGGTGCAATTCGTTGAGAATCCAGACAGAAGAAAACTGGGTCGTGTCAGCAACAGTGACCAGTCGATGTCAACAGCTTACTTGTGGAAATGTCAATTTAGGTCTTAAGGGGCAGAGGTACCCAAGTGGAAAAGAATGGGGAAATCGACATGGAAACGGGCATGAATGGCAAAACCGATTCGAACATGTGAAATGCTAGTAACGCCCAAAAACGAGTCCGTCAAAGGGTTAGGATGGTCAGCTGAAGCATAGTAAGATATTTTGAAAAAGTGTTTCATAAAAACAGTATGCCTTCGGAAATGTTGAGAATAACATTCGTTCACCCAAATGTATTGTGTGTTCTTCAATTTTTTCCCATTTGATTAAAAAAATTACATTTTTGGGAAGGGAAGACAACAAACTCCCACCTCTGAACCCGAGTGACTTGTTTTAGACTAGCCATGACCTCGCATTCAAAGTTCGAATAAATCATAGGTCATTAATAATGAGAACTCGACTTAACTGCACCAGATACATATACGTCCACCCTATCGCTAAAAGTGTGAACATCCTCTCCGTATTTTTGTACAGTCATGTACGCTTAGGCTATTAGTAAAAAGTGTGCCGCTTAGGGGCAGTAGTAAAGGTGCGAGGCAACAAACTGACAGTGAGCAACTTGCCTTTTTGACTTAAACGCGCCTTGTTGAGAAACAGTCCACCTGCGAGTATACCCAAAGCCCCTGAGGGGACAATGAGACCACCTAGAAAACCAAAATTGACATTTTAGAAACAAGCCCTCTCATTCAAACGCACCTTTTTGGGTAGCTTAAAGTAGGGAAAACAGTGGTTACTGTTTTAAGCGGGATGGATGAATTCCAGAGGTTTTTCGCACCCAGAGACTCGAAAAAAAGGTGCTTTACGAGAGCCGTGAAAATTAAATTAAATGTGGAGTGATATATGCTGCTAAGTTCAAAACAAATTACTCCATTTACATATTCGGGAACACAAACCCGATTACTGAGGGCAGTTGGTTGAGTTAGGACTAAGAAGGAAGGGGATGTAACGGTTTTGAAAGCTAAACAATTACTACGTTTGATTACTGAGATCGACAGCTTTCTGAAAAAACAAACGTAATTTGGACCTGAAAACAAAAACTCCAACAAAATTGTGATTGCCAATTTCTCAATAATTCGGTTCGTAAGTTAACCTATAAACGCACTCCCCATATTAGAGGTTTTCGATTAAAAGTTGTATAACATCACAAATCGTTCAGTATGATTTTGTGATTATGACACAAAACTTCTGAACCTAAATTTTACTGAAAAATGTATACCTTTGTGGCTATCAAGGGAGCATGGAAAATGTTCGAGAGGTATTTTAGAGCACGCTTTAGGAGTTGAGTTACGTCACCAAGAAAGCGAATATAGGGGATTGTGAAGCAAGAGTATAACACCAGTTGAGGCTCCAGAAGTTTCAACAGATTAATGCAATAAAGGAAACATTTCAGATTCTTTGTCCATTTTTCTTTCTAAAAGTTTTTTTTTGTGATGATGCGTGATCTAATTCATTCTACAGGTAACAAAATTTAAGATTCACTTGAAACTGATATTAGGCGGAAGTTGACATCTCACCGTATTATGAAGAGCTTTACGCTTTCAAAATGAAGAAGTAATGATTCAACAGAAGAATACTATACAATTGCATAATTACCCGTTTTGAACAGATGGAAATCCACCTCAACACGAAGTGTCCCTTTTACAGTGACAAAGTTGTGACGGCCCAAAAGCGGTGTATTACAGTTTGGAAATGTAAGACCTTTGAGTCAAGCCTAATGCGTCAGATTATTTATTGATACAGATAAAACAAACAAAAATTATTTGAACCACTTCAACTACACTACGTTTCCCTTTATTGGTGACTAGAGATATCTCAGAATCGAAATTTTAACATTATTTTCAAGTGGTGATTAGATATAAACCCCCTCCCCCCCACCGAATTTTTACCTCGACTTAAACTAGCCATCCAGATTTGACGACTTGCGATTAACAAAACAGACTTTTAAGTAGTAGGAAGACGTGTGGACGTGAACAATCACCAGATTTGAGTCGCAAATGCATGGATTCCTATGGGCAGTAGGAAAACTGAAAGGGCTGGAAGATGGACTTTGAAAAGTGACTAAAAGGGAATTAATTTCGAACTCCTTCGTGATTCGTGGAAGAGATAGATTTGCCTTTCAAAGAATGAAAATACCCTCGAAACAAATTAAGTGCCACAAATTAAATTGGGAGGGAATTTCACATGCACTAAAAAAACTTAAAAGCTATAAATAGTCAAGGATGGAGGAAAGAACTGACATATAGAGCAACAGTAGCCCCCTACAGAAGTCAGAATTTGCAGAATTACGCAAAGTAGGTGACCTACCAAGAATAGACACATAGGAAGTACCCCGCAAATGCAACGATTGAGTGCAAATGAGTACATAGTTCATTTTCCCGACAAGAGTACATCCTGTAATATACAAAATTCATGCACTCTAGATTGGAACCAGGAGACACCAGACGCCTCCATTTTATCACACGTGCAATGTGGTCAAACACCCGTGAATGAAGTGCTACTCAAGGTGTTTCCAACGAGAAAGACGACTTGACGGAGGAAAATGTGGACACAGAGGAACGAATTCGCGAAAAAATTGCCAGAATAATGCTATGCCCTCGAATGTAATGACGCGCAACATATTTTCTAAGGTAAGTACAATCAAGTAAACAGTGATTGAGCCATCAAAAAACACATGAAAAGACTATATGTTCACATCCATACAGAAATACGTGAGTAATAACTCCTTCATAAAAATGCTAATGAGGGTTTACAACTCCATATCAAATAAATTCAGCGACGATGTAAAAGGAAACTACAGCATCATGCGGCTTTTCTGAAGACGCATAATCCGGGTATTTGGCTGGTTATATTGAAGCCAGCCCATCACCTATTTACATGAAAAGCATCGGGATTTAAACGTGAAAGTCACTAAACATTTAGAGATGCAAGAAAAGAAGTTAGCTATATGAGAGTGATTAGACGATGAAGAAACCATCACAACTACCACCAATGAGGGTGCCTAGCGGACAAAAAAGTGTGATAGGGGCGCTTGCAGACGCAAAAGGGTAAGGTTGGGGTGAACGTGATGTTGGCCAAACAAATGGTCATGGCGTGTTAAAAGATGAAGGACCACTGGAAAAAGAAACATGACAATGCCAGGAAAGACGGACTTTACACATTCTGAAACTCGCGAATCCTACAGTGTAAAATATCCTACACGTGGACCGATACTCAGTCTAAAGTTATTTAAAGCATAAGGATAATGGGATCACGAATGATCAGAATATGCGCCGACATTTCACTCAAGTGAATGGGAGACAAAATCGGGCACCCGATTCGTAAATTCAGATTACTGAATGTACACTGATCAGAAATGTATCAAAAAAAAAATGTATCAAAATCAGAATTTGACATTTTTGGCAATGACAATGATTGCTACCACTTGTACTAAGGGATTAATGGATCAAGAAGTCATTAATCCTACATAATGAAAATATGCAATGAATAAAATGACCGATCTATCTTGCCTGTATTTGGGGACATTTTAGCGGTTACAATGAAATATCGCCTTTTTTCCCATTGTGCGCTTCTCAAAAGTACACTCCTGATAGGTTTGCATAGTGTGGTAAATTTGGAGGATTGGTGAGTACATTTGAAAGGGAATTGACTGTACGAAATCTTTTGAGTAACATGATCAGTTCTGAAAAATTAAAGCAATACCACAGCAATCAAACTAACAAACGTTAAGTTAGAACTACAAAGATCCCAGTTTCCATTGAAAAAGTGGAACTAATGGAAGCCTTGTGAGTGGAGGCCTTATTCTGCATCACTAAAACTTTGTAGAAAAACTCGCAAATGAACAGGAGCCAGAAGTGTTTGTTGAAATTGAATAAGGCTTTGAATGGTCTGTAGATAAAAAATCGACTGATAATGATGCTTCGAAGTCATAGAGACAAGAGCGGTGCTTTACCGAAGCCCTAGGGGTGGGGATAATGGGATCAAAGTGACAAGTGGAGTGAAAGGAAATTCAGAATAATTATTTTATTCATTCTTGAAACTCGTCAAATTCCCAATAACTAAGTTGCATAAGACCCACTTAAATTTACAATCACCACGTGGGGACGTTTTAAAAAAACATGAAAAAGCTTAAGAACTACTTTGACCAGAGGTAAGTTGATTGAAGGTGATAAGGTGCAACGTGGATTTTTTACTTCATTTAAAAAATCAGGTCTACTGACTTACCGGCAATCATGCTGGCCGTTGCTTTTGATATTTGATACTCGATCTCCATATACTTGGGGAGGAAGCCAGCAAATCCAATGACGATGAACATTTCACAGCAAATACACAGGCACGTAACAACGTAGATTTTGTTCTTTAGAAGGCTGAATACCGACTTGGGAATATCCTCTGCAAAGAAGTATACTAACTATTATGCAATTAATGATGAAGAAAAAGTGTTAAAGACGAATTCAAGCGGTTCTACACGTTATGAAGAAGTAGTTTTAAGCTAAAGATATACATTCATGAAACGGAAAAATGGACCTGTGTGAAGAGCTGTTCTCAAAGATAGCATCTCATGATTTGTGCTTTGGCTCACTCCACTAATACTAGTGATGTAAGTATACTTATTCCTTTCATACAAAAAAACTACATCGTACACAACGAAGACTTTCAAAGACGGCCTGGTAGAGGAGACATAAGGAAGTGAGAGGAAAATTAAAGAGCAATGTCACAAAAATTAATGACATATACCATTGACCGTCTGTAAGTAATTACTGGCTAAAATGGAATGATTGAAGCCACAGGTAAAAGCGGTCCATCAAGCCGACTTGAGACAATAGTAACGCACCATGTGTAAATAGGTCCAAACTGCGAACAAGTTGCAAACTAATTTATTCTGGTACTCACTATAGGGCATGGGCATTTAATGCCACATAAGGAAAAAGCAATTCAGCTTAGTACGATTAACATGAAAAGCGCAACGCCAATCAAAAAGTAGGAAGTTGAAGAACTTGCAGTGCGTCTTTTTCCTTGTGGAGTGAGAAGCAAAGAGTGGATAACCAAAAAAAATGAGCAAAAGCCCAAGTAGTTAAGCAAGTAAAGCAGCTTCCTTTATTCGATCGGATAAATTTTCATCCTTCCCATCCGCCGCTAAT